TTCCTTTGATTCAAACGAGTGTTCAGCGATCTGTGGCAGTGTACCACAAGCCTGCTATTTACTGCCACTGAGACGGAAGTTAGCACTCCCACACCCCGGCAGCAAGATGTGGGAGCTGAAAGCTACCCTGGAAGTGTGTCATTTTATACTTCACCATTTTGAGAGCCTTTTTTTTTTTTTCCCTGGGAAATCCCTTTTCTGATTTAATGTATCTGAAAAGCTACACAGGCAATTTTGAAATGTAAGATCACACTGCTAGAGCTAGGCAGCTCGCAAGGGCAAAGCTTCAGTTCCAAGCAAATGTGTTTAAGGCTTTGTGGTGTTAGCAGTCTCTCCTCTCCCTCTTTGGATAAATGGAAAATTTCTGTAGGCTCCTGAGAAGCCAGGTAAAAGAAAACTTATGAACCAGAAGATCTTAAGCATATGAGTCCAACTATGCTGCTGATTTAAATTAGTTTAGCACCAGTGGAACTATATCCAGTGAAAATTAGCTAAGGCTCTGGCCCACAGTACTGTGTCAGCAAAGATGACTAGCATAAAAATGTGTTTGAATATCGAAAATCTGTTTTCAAATATACTTTTAAGGTCAAATTTTGTCCTGATCGCAGGAAGCAGGGCAGGGTAAGATGCTGGTAGATAGATGCTACAGTGACAGGGGAGCAATAAAAACTCCTAAGGCAGAAAGGGAGGTTAATAGCTATGCCCCTTGCCTCAGGAATCCTGTTCAGAGCAGGAAGTTTTGTGCTGGACCATTATGGGCAGGGAAGCTCGTAGTGGGATATATATTCTGCTCTGAACTGGAGCATTCTGCATGTTGTACATTTTTATGACTACAATGTATGGACTAGACAGCTGGAGGTTTGGGCCTGTAACTCAGCAGATGCTGACTCCAGGACACACAGGCTGGCTCTGTATGTGGCCATTCTCCTACTATTTCCATTACTTCTGGGAGAAATTCTGCTGACACAAGCAGAGAAACTCCTTCCTTTTCTCACCCTTCTGCCCCCAACACAGGATTAGTGAACACACACAAGCTAGTTTTGAGTTTAGCATGTGCCACTTAGTTTCCTAATTTAGTCTATGAAAACTGTCATGTTAAATCCAAGCAGACCCTAGTGTTTTCATTTATTTGCTTTAGGAAACCTTGACACCAGAACTGCAGGGTTAATACTGATCCCGCCTGGACACAAAGCATGTAGGCAGGCAACACTAACACTGCTAATTTTAGAAACTCACGTTGCTCAAACTTGAAAAAATAACACTCAACAGAATATTCTTCCTAGCTTCATTCCTTTATCATTGTAGGACTTTGGCACTGAGACATCTTTTGCTGGTTCTTCCAATTGCATCAATCTAGAACAGCTTGACAGTCCACATCCTGATGGAGAGACTAAACTTTAACATCAAGGATTATGTTGCTGATTAGCACTTCCAATAATCAAGTAATTGGTACATTAAATAATCCAGAGTTTGGCGACTTGCCCAAACAGGTCACGCTTGCATTGATTCCTTTTTAGAGAGCCCATGTTGCTATTACACAAATTCAATCTGTCTGTCCAGAACTCTAGCGTAAAAATATTTGGCTAATTTCCTTCTTTTCATACAATTTTATGGGAAATAAAACCCAGGAAAAGTTGCACATTCGGGCAATATGTTCAGATTTTCCAATTAGGGGAGGTGGGGAGCAAGAGAAAAAAAGACAATTCTCTGGACTTTTTTGTCTCCCAGGTTAGCGTGGCCAGTACAATCAATATAAACCTCCAAGGGCCCAAGTCAACACGATTTTTAGTTCATCTCCTACCCTCTTTGTATTTTATTATAATTTCTGTGAGGCTGGGAGTCTCCCGTGAGGAATCCTCCACACAACCAGACTGCCGGAGGAGCTGGGATCTACCTCTGCCCTTCCCCAGGCTTGGGCAGGAGGAGCTCATGGGCACAGTTGAGGTCAGGGCTGCGGTGCAAGAGGCTGCAACTGATGCTCTGCTCCCCTGCTCGTCCACTCTTGCTCCCCCTGCTCAACCCATCTGTACAGACAGACATGGGCAGGCACTGAGCCCTGTGCAGTCTTCACAGTCAGACTGCTAGGACGCCAGAAATTGAAGCAGCCTCCTTGCTCCCCCAGACTGGCTATGGCCAGCACGAGCAAAAGGAGGGGTCTGCATAAAACCGAAGAGTCCTCACCTCAAATCAAATATCAGAGCTGCACAAACCACTTGTGCGTGCCTTGAAAGGCTCAAAACCCACCCACATTTCACTGAGGTACCCACTGGAATGAGATGGTTATCACGCTGTTTATTTCTGCAGAGTATTTTGGGTATCCACACACATGGATCCTGGTCTCACATCTCTTCTGCTACATCTTTCCTTGTGGAGAAAGGAGGGCACGAATACAGACTAATAACCATCACCATGCCATGCTATGCTACTGCACAAGCCCCAAAGGCATGGCAGACACCCAGGCTGGGCTTTTTAACTTACAGTGTCTATGGGGACATCCATGTCTGTGCCAGTCACACTAAGTGTCCTTCACAGCAGGGAGAAATAGGCACTCCTAGGGCATAGTTTGTCTGAGCTGTCTTAGTTGTTGACTTCAGGATGAGCTCAGCTGTCTCTTTTAAGTGCCTGCTTCTGTAGGTTGATTTTAAAGAGAGTTTAGACAATTAGCTCAGCTATGTCTTCATTCCAGATGTCTATATTGAGTCAGATTAATCTTGCCTGACAACCTGAAAACTTTACTGTAAGACAATCCTTACGCTGGGACAAAGGAATATATAAAACTCTTGGTGAATAGGAAAATGGTTATTCCTGAGGATACCCACAATGGCAGTTATTGACATTTAGAGAATACAAAAAGCTGAGGACAGTGAGTGATAAAGCATCTTTCTTGTCTTTTCAATGCAGCTTGCTCAGTGTGCCTACTTTTTCTGTCAAATACTACCTGTGAAATGATGTCATATATAATCACGTCAACAGGCAAAAAACCACAACTCAGTGAAGCCAGAACTCCCTCTGATGTTTTAAGGCTTTGGCTGTGAATGATGATAAGCCCCTCTTGGGACTGGAACCTCAGAGAGGTGGCATTACTGCAGCCTGGATGGTCCAGGCAAGCATAAACAGACGCTAAGAACCAGCTTGTCTTTTAACTACTGTGTTAGCACACAAATGTGCAAGTCTCTTAGCACTGGCTTGAAACAAACCAGAGCTATGGAGTGCTTGAACAGGTGGGAGAGGAAGGGTTAACCATGGCTCTCCTAAAATTTAATGAAAGGCATAGAGTCAAATAGTGGCCTTCTCTCTAGATCAAATATCTTCCCCTAGGTAAAAGCGTGCATACATTTATGAAGAGACAATCTTTCAAGCTCCAAAGGTGGCACACCAGGCTTTGCAATACGGACCTCGCTGCTGAGGGTATATAGTCCATCCATACCTCAGGGGTGGTTACCACTAGCTGGACTTAGGAGTGTGTAAAGATTTTAAATATTCATTCCACCTCTGAGTTATTACATATGTTGGTTAACAGCCCAAGAAAGTTATAGATGTCCTCTGTTCTTACAAATGTATCTTTTAGATGTGTCAGCATATGCAGAGAGCAAAGAATAATGGTTCTGTTCCAATGAAGAAAGTAAATAAATACTGTTTGTGATCAAGGGAAGTAACATTTCCGGCACTGCAGCCAGCACAGGGAACATGGCGTTAACAAACAAAAAGGGAGTTCTGGCTATACTGCGGTATTTTTGATGGTGTAAATAGCCTGCACCGACGGAGCAGGGAGATATTGCAATGGCCCAGATTTCACAGCATGCACTGCTATCTATGGTTGTAGGTGCCAAGCACCACTGCAGTCACTATTTGTGCTACCAGGGACAGGGATTTACTGGAGGCTACAGAATATTCCATGGATTGTAATGAAATTTGGCACGTCACCAAGCCACATCCGGCAAGCCGTCAGTATTTTACTGCTGAACAGATTTCTTGCAACACCCACCATTTTCCTTTTCCTCAAAGAAGCTCCCCATGCTTGTGAATCTAAACAAATGCAATTACATTTGTTTCTTGCTCACAGGTTTGAAGCAACAGACGTATATTAAACTAACACTTTTACAAAGGTGCTGTTTTATCAGAGGGATTCAGTAGGCTGGGAATAGCGAATGAAGGGTAGGGGGGTGTTCTGTCTCTGAAGCATTGTCCTTGGACAAGCCACGGTTGTTGGCAGTCTTACCCCTATCTCTGCCTTACTTTACAGTCCTGCCAGGAACCACACACAACTGCAGGGCTGGGGGAAACCTCAGCTGCTTTTCTAAGGTAGGAGACTTGCACCAATTAAAGGTACCTCAGGTAAGAGACCCAAGCCCCATGCTATAGGTCTTGCTGAGATAAGCTATAGCAGGGACATCCAAGACAGCAGGCAGTCCCTAAGCACCAATATATGAAGAAGGAAAGCTCAGGGAGAAGGGGTTCACTCCCCAAAAAACAGCCCAGCTGAAAGCCAGGGTGCGGTCTGGAGACAGACCAGACTAAGATGGCTGGAGATGACCATTTGGTGAATCAATTGGATCTGAGCTAGCAGGAAGCAGCTGGCTTATCCTGCTCTGTGCTGTGCTGTAGGGCAATTTCAATCATCAGCATGAAGGCTTGAGCTGCTGCCTAACTCAGCTGGAATAAGTAAGCAGATTAATGGCCCAGACCTAAACCATATCCTAGGCAGAAAACCACTGACTTCAACATACACAACACAATAACTTCACAGCCAGCACCATCACGAAATGTTCTGTGAGCAGAAGTGTAATGAGGCTGCTGATGGATGGAGTACTGACAAGTACAGATGCAATACAACACAAAGAACAATATTAAAACATAAATACCAATAGTTTTCTGAACGCGCTGATACATCGGAATCAGTAACTTTTTGTTTCGCAAAGGCCACATCCACATGAGTTTGACCTTACACCTGAAAATACCCATTCTATTCACACAGAAGGCAGTAGTGATTACACAAACCTTTACTTATTCTGATTTCGAATTCGGAGACACCTCCTTTTCAATGGTGGCTCCAGATCCTCTGGCCCTGTGCTGAGTATTGGCGTTGAGATTATGCACGGTGCGATAGCAGTCTTTTCTGCTGGTTTTGGCACAGGCTGGATCACACAACCTGTCTTGGGCAGCATCCGCAAAGCATATGCATGGTCCTCGTCTGCTGGATTGTTAAGGTTCGGGTCCTGTTTGTCTCCCCCAGCAAGGGGCTCTTCCCCAGCCTTCTTGCCAGCATCTCCCTCGAGGTGGCAGTTTGATGCGCAGTTGTTCTCCTTAACAGACTCCAGCTCACTCACCGCCAGCTCCTCCGGCAGCTGGGGCTTTTTCAGCTCCTGGGATGGCTCCGGGTTCTTGGAACCCTCCGTGCTCTTCGTGCCATTCACAATGACGTTGCACACCGCTGCACCAGCTTCCAGTCCCGGCGTGCCAGAGGGCAAGGAGACGGGACAGCAGTGAGCTCCGTCACTGCATGGTAACGTTTTTGAGTCAACTGGGCTGCAGTTGTCCCTGCAGTCACTGCAGTTCCTTTTGTCTGAGCTACCAAAAGCCAGATTTACAACACTGTTAGGTTCACGTTCAACTTTCACTTGGGCATGTAAAGCCCTGTGGATAACATTGTGCAGCCTAGATCGGTGGCCTACTGTTAGGTCTATCACACCGTCCTGTGGACCCTGTAGCACACTGGGGAAACCAAATTTACTGTTCACTGGACTACTAGGTCTGACAGTCAAGTCAACAACTTCATTTTTACTGTGCTCCTGAAGCACTTGAGCTTGATTTAGGGACTGGCCTGAGCAGCTTGGTGACGAGTCAGAGGATTTAGATGATCCTTGCTTTGACTCTCGGGGGGATGAAGAGCTATTGTTTGGCTTTCCCCCAGGCGTTTCACTGGAGGTACTCGGAATGAAGCTTTCACCATTGCTGGAGAAGCCATTTGGGGGTTTGGAGTCATTGATGTGAGGGATGGGAATGGGAATGGGGATGGGGACGGGCAAAGGGACAATAACAGGATATGGCACTAGTAGAGTCGGGGGTGGCACCAGCGGGGCAAGGGATGGTAATCCAAAGTTCATCATCTGGGGCATAGGCATAGGACCATTTGGCATCATGCTGACAGGGGGAAAGGGAAGACTGGGCAAAGGAGCTCCGGGAGGGGGAGGCGGCAATAAGCCGGGAGGATTCCCAGGCATGGTAGGTGTTGTGGGGGGATGGATATGAGGCGAAAGCATTGGCCTGTGCATGGGGCTAGAGGTGGGACCCATATTTCTGGGGCCACCTGGTGGGGGACCAATTCCAGGAATCATTGGATTTGACAGAGGGCTGTTAGGATTTGAGGCATGGTGAGGCGGCCCGCGAATAAATGGTGGACGGATTTGCTGCATAATTTGCTGCTCCATGAATATGGGCAGAGGAACTGGACCACGGTTTGTCATTACCATGGGAGGACTGCGAGGTGGGACACCAATTGGAGGCACAATGCTAGCAGGTGGCTGGACAGAAACTGGTGGAATATTTGGATTCTCACTGATGGGAATAGGTTTGGGAACTGGTGTGGGGATTTTAGTGACAGAGCAGTTGGCAGTGTCAGGGCTTTTCTCCGAGCATCTGCTAGCGGTATATTCCAAGAATCTGGAGTCAGCAGCTGCACCCCAGTGCCTTCTGCTTTATTTTCGACTGGAGGATGTAATGTACTGCACAGTCCAGCTGGAAGATTGGCCTGTGTCTCTTTGTAGAAAATGTCCATTTTGTACTGATTGAGACATTTTGCACTGCAGAACTGAAGCCTTCTTTCCCCGTCCCCAAAATCCAGATACTCTTTTGTGTGTCTTATGTGCTTACACCAGTCACATACCTACAACACAGTAATAAAATCAAATCAGGTAAGAAAAGCAATCTTCCCTTCATAGTGTTATTTTAAAAGTAATTCAGTTGCTTTGTAAATACCCACATTATT